ATAAAGTTTGCATTAAATTATGTTTTAAGAGCATTTAAACACAATTGAACACCCAACAGTGAGGAACATCTGGAATCTGACAATACTATTTAAAATCTGCTCCTACTAGTGTATGATAAGCATTATTTCTAAATCTCTCAATCCAGACTAAGCACTTGTCTTAAGCCTAAAAGTAAATGTATATGAGCTACTTTAGTACAATTTTAAATACAAGGGCAGTACTTTTACACCGCGGTATATAACTTTGTTTACTCCCAAATAAAAGTGTTGTTTTCCTGAGAGGCTTCCTAAAGTGGTCTCTCCCCTGTGGCCAGCTGTCGAGATCTGCAGCTGAACGGGCACAGTTGAGGAGAAACGACGCCACCTGCAGGAGGTGTGAGAGATGAGGGCTCAGACATTAATACACAGCCCTACACTCCGTAATTTTGCTCCGATCGTATCTTGAAAAAGGGATCTTTCCGGATTTTTTTGTTTTCTTTGTTGCCCGAGCAAATATCCTACAGACTTGAGATGCTGCCAAGCCCTGTTTACATATGATTACTTTTGGAGAGTTTATGAGGGAAGATACTCTTTTAGTGGCATTTGAGTTATGAGTTTAGCTATTCAAGAGAACAAACAATACACACGCATAACTAAGCAGATTACACAACTATGAAAGGTTGCGTCGCTGCTCTTAAATGAGCCGTATCCCTCAGTGCACTGCCTGTCAGCGTCACGTAAACGAGCGAGTTGTTCGGCGTAGTTTAAGCGAAGCTAAATGTAGATTAAATGTGGTGTAACTAAAAGAAATACACTCCATTTTTTTTTTTTTATTAGTAATAAAATAAATGGTTGTGTTACAACTCACATGGTTCGACTCTTCGTAGCACACCAAGACAGAAGCGTAACTACAAGATATGTACCATACCTAGCTCATCGATTTTTTTTTAAGCACCTGATTACTTCAACATTGTTAATACTTTTTATTATTTGTATAGTCAGGTTCAATTTATGTAGAGCCAGCATTAAAGCTCAGGCCACACTTTTTTCTAATTGAGGCTGAGGTGAATTTACAGCAGGATTGTAGCTTTTGCAGCCGAGAAACCTGAACAAATGTGACAAAAAAAGAAAAGGTAACTCTCAAAGAGCTAATTGCACCTTTAACTGCACTGCTGAGTTACTCCTGCCGAGTTACTCCATATAGGGCTATATAGATATATATATATACATCTATATATACATACAATAGTGTGTAAATACATTTTTTGTACCTCTCCCTCGTCATGATAGGGCATTTTGCTGCAGAACAGTGTGTGATGGGTGCATCTTCATTTTATCCATATCATGGGTGAAGATACATAACTCACAGAGTTTCATGAATCGTCACCGCTTAGAGATGCAGTGAAACAGCTTTGCTGTCAAACTGGACTCTCGACACTTGTTGATCCTTCATCAAGATGGAAAAATACTGATGCTGATGCACTAACACTGACTCACCTGAGCTGCACAACTCCTTTTTCATTAGGAACGCAATGTTTTTCTTGGACTGACAAAGTCAATACTGTTGATACCATTCAGGAATGTTTTGTTGTTGAATCCTGGCAACATAAATGAAATAAAATAAAAAGTGCGCAGCACCTGAAAAGGAAGGTTTAGGTGTCGAGATTTAAAATGTGTATATATTTTAGGAGAGGTCGACAACAGAGAGGTGAAAAAGGCCATTGGATGTAGTATTATTAATTAGTATTTTGACAGTTTTGTGTCTTCACAGGTGAAGTGTGTCGCTGTGAGATGGAGGGCTGAGGAAAAGTAATGGATCACCTCCTCAATCTGCAGGTCAGCCATCCACTGACGGCCCTAAAGTTTTAAAGATTACATATTCAGCTCATATTCAGGTTCATATTTGTATTGTGTGCCTCTACTGTGACATGTTTACGTGCTTTAATGTTCAAAAGGTCTTTATTTTTCTTATACTGTGCCACAGTAGCTCTTTTCACCCTCTGTCTGAAACCAGAGCCCAGTCGGCTCTTATTGGTTAGCTGGCCGGCTTTGTGCGTATAGAACACAAGGAAACAGCACACAAATATAAAAAGGGCTGCTTTAAAACACTCATCTGGCTTTTTATCCTCCATATAATCCAAACTGCCTCCTGTATTTAACATCAGTTTAAGATCAGACACTTTGAAAACTTCTCTACTTTGGTCTCTTTATTTCAGCACCACATCGATCGAACACCGACACTTCATTAAGAAAATAATTGTGTGTGTGTGTGTGTGTGTGTGTGTGTGCGTGTGCGTGCGTGCGTGCGTGCGCGCGTGCGTGCACTCACGCGCACGCTCGCTCATTCTCCGGTTGGGCTGTGTCTCCTGCGAGAGCAGCTGATCCGTGTCAAGCATCACACTGGTGCACCACACCTGGATTGTGTGAACGGGGAGATAAATCCGTTTCCTGTAATCTTCACATCAAGAAAAGCGGTCCAGTGACTTTCACACACCTCTACTGTGTATTACAGTGTGTGCTGCTTAAAATACCGCGCTTTATAATTCTTGCTGCTGGCCATCTTCACTGAGTCACTGCTTAAGATACCTTACACTTTCCTTTTCAGAGAATCGGCTGTCAGCTGCTTCACAGATAAAGTTTGCATTAATATGTTAAGAGCATTTAAACACAATTGAACACCCAACAGTGTAGGAAACATCTGGAATGACAATATGTAAATGCTCCTATAGTGTATGATGAAGCATATTTCTAAATCTCTCAATCCAGAGTAGCCTAAGCACTTGTACTTTAAGCCTAAAGTAAATGTATCTGAGCTACTTTAGTAACAATTTTAAATACAGGGCAGTATTTTACACCGCGGTATATAACTTTGTTTACTCAAATAAAAGTGTTGTTTTCTGAGAAGCTCCTCAGTGTCTCTCCCCTGTGGCAGCTGTGAGATCTGCAGCTGAACGGGCACATGAAGGAGAACGACGCCAAGGCCTTCTCATCCTCCACCTCCATCTGCTTCTGCTCCATCTGCAGGAGGTGTGAGAGATGAGGGGGCTCAGAGATAATACACAGCCCACACTCCGTATTTTTGCTCCGATCGGATCTTGAAACAGCGATCTTCCGGTTCCCGAGCCAATTCTATACAGACTTGATCTGCTGCCAGCCCTGTTTAATATTTATTTTTGAGAGTTTTATGAGGGAAATATTTTTAGTTGATTTGAGTTATGAGCTTAGCTTATTAGAGAAGCAAGCATAATAACAGATTACACAACTATAATAACTTTATAATAGTTTTTCATGTACCCTAATAAACCAATATCATGAAACAACATGATAAAAGCATTGTGTTCCTGTTTAAACCAACGTAATATATATGTGGGAGGCGTGTGGTGCAGTGGGTTGTGTGTTGGTGTTCTGATCAGGGGTCACAGGTTCAAACCCCACTGCAGTCAGCATGTCGTTGTGTCCCTGGGCGAGACACTTCAGCCCAAACTGCTCCTGTGGGGATTGCCCACAGTACTGAGTATGTAAGTCGCTTTGGATAAAAGCGTCTAACAAGTGACATGTAATATATTTGAGTCTGTTTACAGCTATGTGCAGTGTCTTTACAACTCATCCACGAATAAATAGATCCCCGGCCTGCTCTGTTCATGATCAATTTATTTGAGGAAAGGCTTTTTATTACATTCGTCAATGGAAGAAGTACTCAGATGTCAAAATACTCCATTATGAGTAAAAATAGGCTGCTGGATTCAAAATCTTACTTGAGTTACAGTTCAAGCATCAAATGACAGTTAAAATAATAAAAGTAAACGTAGTGCTAAAGAATCTTTTCAGAATCATATATATTCAATTACTGGAATATGATCAAAGTACTCAGACCCTTTCCTGAGGTAAAAGTACATTAATGTACATAACAAATAAAGGTCCTTCAGTCTGAGGTAATTATGAAGAGAAAATGTACTTAAAGAATAAAAAGTAAAAGTACAAATGTTTATATATAGGCCTATATATATTATTATTAAATATATTACATTATGACATTATCTGATTATTAATATTGTTGCCCCAAGCAGCATTTGACTGTTGCAGACTAGACTATAGCCTATAAATTGTAGACAACGCAAATTATTGATGTTTATAACTTTTGGTGATACATTCTAAAAAATGTACTGTTTTCTACCTTAAACCGTTTAGTTTTTCTCAGTTTTTAGTCAGCATCTTTATCAGTTATGAGTTAGAGAGAGGATGAACTCAGAAACTACAGAAAATAAAAAAACATGTTAATATACTCAGTATTTTTATTTCATTCATATTGTGTATGATGGTTTTCAACATTAGCTACAGAAAATAAAAAAACATGTTAATATACTCAGTATTTTTATTTCATTCATATTGTGTATGATGGTTTTCAACATTAATGAGAAAACTCTCTTTACTGGAGAAATCTTAACAATAAGGCCATATATTTGAAGGTATTTCAACTGTATTTGGGAGAGCAGCATTCCTGTGCGTCCCCTTAAAGAGCCCCCGGGTCCGGCGGAACCAAAGAGCTCCAGAGTGGCGGGGGGCGCCTCCCGACAGGAGCACCGACATGCAACCGCTGCACTGACGCTCTGCCACGGCCTCCGCTCCGGGCTACCGCCGCTATACACCGGAAAATAACTCCGTTATCTGGGGGGGGGATTTCTCTCCTGAATAACCTGTGGAGAGGAAATGGCAGACCGGGAGCAGCGGGAGCAGGACGAGCAGCGGGATCAGACGGAGCAGAGCCCCACGCTGGACTCACCGCTGTCCGGCCCAAGTCAGACCGGGAGAGCAGTGTCTATAGCCCGGCTGCTGCACCATGAGTGCGGGCTTTTGCTGCAGCTCTACGTGAGTCCTTTATACATTATCTATATTACACACATATGTGGATATATCCTGTGGAGCTGCACCACCACTCTCAGTAGTGTGTTGTTCTCGTGTTTTTTAATGATGTTGTGGTGCGGTGTGACCCCCCCTCCCCAAAATGAGTGTATTGGTTTTTGCTGCTTTCGTTCCTGCCCAGTCCTTCTCTTTATGGTTTGGGTGTTTCAGTAAGGAGTCTCTGAGCTGTCTGTCTTTCTGTCTGTCTGTCTGTCTGTCTGTCTGTAACCAGCTGTTCGTTTTCTCCTCTCAGAAGGAGAAGGAGTCCTTCCTGTCGAGCTACTCCCCTGACGGGGGACGCATGGTGTCTCCGTCCCCGGTCCCGCAGGAGGAGGCGAGCGGAGAGCAGCGGGTGGAGTGGCTGCACGCCGCTCTGCGACAGTGCCTGGGCCTCCTTCACAGTGTCCTCCTGAAGGAAGAGGAGGAGTGGGGGGAGCAAGAGGAAGACTATGAGACCCTGAAGAAGAATGTGCGACACCGTCTGGAGCACCTGCTACTCAGCACAAGAGGACTGCTGGAGGGCCCAGACACCACCCTGGAGGTCACTCCGGACCACCAGGGCACCGAGGTAACACACACACACACACACACACACACACAATGTACTGTGTGTATATCTTAAAGTAGTTTTTGAGAAGTTTAACCTGACAAAGAGCGGAGGGGGGGGCATGTCACCTGTATCTGTCTCCTGCAAACCTCCTGCTCTCACTCTCAGCCGTGCCAACATGTTCCCTGCTGTTGAGGTGTGAAGATGGACTGACGTAATTCCTGAATATCCATCGCTACTCACGAGCCCACGCTGTAAACATCTCAGGGACTGAAGAGATTTGTTTACAAACAAACATGGCTCATGTTTTCTAGCTGAGCGACTTCTTGTTTAAAGTGCGTGTGTGTAATGGATAACTTCAGATCATTTAACGTGAAATGATATTTATTATAAGCGATGGACAGGATGTATAACAGGGGATAAACTGGCTAATTTAAAATGTTTCATTATATTTATTTGACGTGAACATAAAACAGAGCAGAAAATGTAGACTTGCAGCCGTCGGCTCCTCATCAAACGACTACCAATGAATAATAATCTTTCTGCAGTTTACTCCTCCTGTTTACTGCTCCATAAAGTAATGCATGTTCCTCCTCTCCTGCAGGAGCCTGACGGAGCGGGGGGGCTGTTTGGTCTGAAGGTGTGGACGTACCGGGTCCTGCTGGAGCTGCATCACTGGGCGGACCACGCTGCAGAGACTCTGCACGTCTTCCACACGGAGAGGGGGGGGGCAGCAGACCTCTGAGCCGCAGCTACATGAAGGACCAACAGCTGTAACTCCTATCACCTCTACTAACACAGCTCCTCCAGCTTTAACTCTTACACACAG